ACTAAACCTTGCATGATTGGGCGTAGCACCTCACAGTCTGTGCGTCTAGCTCGTGTGATCAGTCTGGATTAAAGTGGAACAGTACCTGATGCTTTGCTGCATCGCTTGTCGTACTAATAATTGATGCCTCGGTGTCTTGACTGTTTGTCGAGGGCCATGCGGGGATGCTACTTAGAGCTGGATAGTGTAGCTACCGTCAAGTGGTGTGTAGCGAGACCGCCGTCAAGAGCTGGTCATCAGGGCTGCTGAGAACTGAGCATCGAGCTGCTAGCGATAGATGAGCAGCACGACCACTGAGAGCTGGGCAACGAGACTACCAAGGGTTGAACAACAGGGCTGATCTTTCGACTCGAAATATTAATGTCACCTCGGGAGTGCACTATTATGTATAGCATCAGCTCTTCATCTACTTTAACTCTTCCCCTTCGGAATATTGTCGTACCAACCAATCCCCCCCCCCCTTTTTTTTCTTAAAGGAGGCGAAGAAAGGGAAAGATGGATGTATAGCCGCTGAAAGCAGATATACATAGCTGCTGGAAAGAGCTAGGCGATTCAAGCAGGCCGAAAAGAGCTGGGTAGCGCTACCGCTGAGAGTTGGGCAAGGCAACTACTGGGAGGCAGGCAATGTAGCAGCTAGTGTCCAGGCTTTGCGGCTACTGGGTTGGTTCATATGGTTGCTTATGGCCAGGCTGCATGACAGCTGAGGGCTGTTTTGAAATACTTCACGAGTAGTAGGAGTTAATACTCTTTCCCTCTTTTTTTTCTTTTTTTTTTTTGAAAACATCAAGTTGGTTTGGTTGCAACGCAACTTCTGAAGGTATATTTTATTGAACGGAATTTGCGGCACGCATCTATTAAATTTATGATTTTTGTCTTGTAAAGATGGCCCATGTTGCTTGTTGACGTAGCCCAATATGATCAAATACCAATATAATAGGAGCTAAGATGTATTCTGCAGCCCAATAGCTTGGGGGGAAACATCTTGAAGAAACCTACTATAGAATTATAGGCCCAACTTTCTTGTATGAGAAACGCCCAACAATGTGAAGAAGCCCAAATGGGAGATGCCCGAAATAAAATGGCAAACCATTTTCGAAATGGTAAAGGCCCAAGATGAGGATTATTGGAATCACTCGTGATTATCAGCCCAATATTAATTTTCTTGCATGAACTATATACACAAATGGGTATTACCACCTTCTCTTCTCTCTTTCCCTTTTTTTTTTGAAAATGGTGAGTGATCTAGGTTGTAACGTATCTTCTAAAGTCGGGTTTTGTTGGGCGGGATCTCAACAAGCGGGTATTAGGGCTGATCATTAAAATTTGTCTTGCAAGAAGTGCCAATTTTAATTGTTTAGTTAGCCCGTCAACATTAAAAACTGATTTGAGGGAAACCCAGTAAGACTGCTGGAGCCTAAAATAAAATTTCAGTCCATCACGCCCACTTCTCTTTTTTGTCTACTGTGGGGGTGAACGAATTAGACAGCAAGGGTAAAACCATTTACTTCTTCTTCCTGGTTTTAGAGAAAAGGTCCTCCAGCCGCCCCAGCCTCCCGATCCCTTGAAATGATGTCGAGAGACAAAGCGCCTACGACCGGAGACTCTAATGATTCACGGAAAACCAACTTGCTCCTCGTCAGCGCTCGCAACGACTGATGAGATCGGAACAAAGCCTGCCAATGACGTCGATTCAGCCAGGTCGGCGGTTGTAGGTTCTGTCGAAGCTCTAGGCGACCGCTGGTGCTAACTGTGATTGGCGACGCTCGATCTTGAATGTGCCCGTCATTTGTGGGTGGCGGTCGGTGTTCCATGGAGGCTAACAGGTGTTCCGGAGGTGCTGTGCTTCCGCTGTGATGAGGAAAATAGCGGTTACAGAACAACGTTCTTCAGTCCCTGGGGGCGGCCGGTGGTTTTGTAGCGATGGAGCCATCTACAGTGCTTGTGGTTGTCGGCGATGATTTATGGAGAGGGAGATCGGAGCAGCGAATAGCTATATGTGGTGCTTCGGTTGCAGTCGACCATAGTGATCGAGGAACAGGTGCTGGAGTGGCAGCTAGCGCCCAGTGATGAAGCGGGGATACGAAGGTTGCGATTGGCATTGGAGTTCATCACCGGGGATTGCGACTAGGTCCCACTCGTCGGAGCCTGAAGTATCCGATGGTGACCGATAGTGTAGTTTCGGCTGGCATTGAAAGGTCGAGAAAGGAGGGTCGAAGATTCTTCAGGTAGCTACTTTTGTTTCCGACGGTCGACCGGTGGTCGACGGTAGTAGTGTTTGGTGACCATGTGGACCCACCTTTTGACTTTTATGCCAGCTCCTTTAACTGAGTGGGGCCCATACGCCTCTGAAGAATAGCATCACGTGGAGGCCAACTGTGGTTTTTTGGCTTTGCATTAAGAATTGGCCAAGGTGGTCCCGCTGAAGGTGCTCGGTAGACCTAGTGGGCCCTGACCTTAAGCTTTGTCTCTCCTCCCCCCTTTTTTTGTCGTCTTGGGAGAGACAAAGGGTACGAAGACCATTTTGTAAAATATATTTTGTACAACTTGTTGTATATGTGAACTGCAAGATGGTTTTTCTTCCTTTTTTTGTTATGCCCCATGTACTTTTCCTTTTTTACCATACAGATTTTTTACGGACATGGTAAATTGTAACTAATGTGGTAGGGTAAGTTTTGAAGTAAATTTTGTTTCTGGTGGGTTTTGAAATGTATCAGAATCATATGTACACCTTACACAAATTGCACATGTGTGGAAATGAAATGAGTTCTCCATAATATATGAACTCGAGAATGAGAAAAAGTCTTAAGAGTTTTCCATAAAATGTGTACTGAGAGTAGGATAGAAACTCATCAGAACTACTTCTCTCTCTCTCTCTCTCTCTCTCTCTCTCTCTCTCTCTCTCTCTTTTTTAAAAGGTTTTGTAGAAGGTACAAGCCACAAAGCTATGTATACAAATAACTGTTGCAAAAGTAAAAATACGCACGAAAATAGGGAATTTTTTTTTTTGAGAATGTGAACAAAAGATGAAGTAAAACTCACACAGAACTTCATTTCTTCTAAATTTGCTGAGAAAACCCCATATCATAAATAAAAAACGGATCTGCTGTGGAGTGTTGTTCATGAAACTTCATTTTCTTTTCAGCTTGCTCAGCAAGCTATGAAGATATGAGCAAGAAACGACAGATCTGGAAAAATTCTCATTTTCTATCTCTAAGCTTTTAGAGAGAACTCTAAATAGACAGCTTCAGAAGAGCTTTGCAAAGAAAATCATAAAGTGAATGTGATTTCTTTGTAACATAAACTGAAAATAAGGTAAAAAATCACGAAAAATTTCTTCTCTTCTCAAGTTGCTGTAGCAAAACACCAAAACATGAATCAAAGATAGAGAAATGGTCGAAAGAACCTCTTCTCTCCCCGAAAGTACAAGTAAAAACGGGTCTGAACTAGTGTTTTTAAACTTAAGAGGTGATTAAGTGAACAAAAATGTGTAGATCTGGAGATCTAAGCTAAAAACGAGAGCATATCTAAAGTGTCTATGCAAACTTCGTGAATGCTCATATGAGCTAAAAACTGAATAGATCTGAAAAGATCTTAATTGAAAATGAAGTAGTTCTTGAGATCTAAATGATGGTTAAACAGATCTGAAAAGATCTTGTCAAGAACCAAATTGATCTGAACAGATCTTGGCAAAAGCCAAACGGATCTGAACAAAATGATGCTAAACATGAACCCATCTGAGCAAACTTGACCTGAAATGCAACAGATCTGAACAGATCTAGGCAAGAACGAGATGATTTCTGCTCGTTCGAGTCCGGGATGGCGCCAAATAATGTGACATCGACCTCCGACGACTCTTCTGGTCTTCTGCTGCGGCGGAGATCTGACATCACAGTGCAAACCCGTTAGAGCCGCCCCATGGACTGTGCCCCGGGAGTGGGCTCCGACGGTCAAGTTAGATCAGCTAGAAGATCTGAGATGGTCCTCCATAGCTGGAGAGAACCATCTTGGTGCTGGTGGTGGTGTATGGTGGTTGACGGCGGCGGGTGGCGGCTGAGCCACCCGGCCGGAGTATAGTGGCGGCTGAGCCATTGGGAAGATCCCCCTCCATGGAGGAGGTATTATTCATTATATAGGGGGCAATTAGGTCAGGCCTTGGGCCAGCCGATTCAGGCCCAGCTAGCAAGGAGCTGGGCGGGGCCGCCCGGAAGCGCTGGGCGAGGCTGGCGGGCGCGCACCAGGCAAGGCTGGCGGGCGCGCACCAGGAAGGGTTGGCAAGGGAGCGCCAAGCCAGGGAGCGCCAGGCTAGGCCGACAGGAGAGTCCCCATCAGGGCTAGCAAGGGAGAGCCAGGCCGGGCCGGCGGGAGAGTCCCCAGCAAGGCTGGCAAGGGAGCGCCAAGCCAGGGAGCGCCAATATAATAGGAGCTAAGATATATTCTGCAGCCCAATAGCTTGGGGGGAAACATCTTGAAGAAACCCACTATAGAATTATAGGCCCAGCTTTCTTGTATGAGAAATGCCCAACAATGTGAAGAAGCCCAAATGGGAGATGCCCGAAATAAAATGGCAACCCATTTTCGAAATGGTAAAGGCCCAATATGAGGATTATTGGAATCACTCGTGATTATCATCCCAATATTAATTTTCTTGTATGAACTATATACACAAATGGGTATTACCACCTTTTCTTCACTCTTTCCTTTTTTTTGAAAATGGTGAGTGATCTAGGTTGTAACGTATCTTCTAAAGTCGGGTTTTGTTGGGCGGGATCTCAACAAGCGGGTATTAGGGCTGATCATTAAAATTTGTCTTGCAAGAAGTGTCAATTTTAATTTTTTAGTTAGCCCATCAACATTATAAACTGATTTGAGAGAAACCCAGCAAGATTGCTAGAGCCCAAAATAAAATTTCAGTCCATCAGGCCCACTTCTCTTTTTTGTCTCCTGTGGGGGTGAACGAATTAGACAGCAAGGGTAAAACCATTTATGTCTTCTTCCTGGTTTTAGAGAAAAGGTCCTCCAGCCGCCCCAGCCTCCCGATCCCTTGGAATGATGTCGAGAGACAAAGAGCCTACGACCGGAGACTCTAACGATTCATGGAAAACCAACTTGCTCCTCGTCAACGACTGAAGAGATAGGAACAAAGCCTGCCAATGACGTCGATTCAGCCAGGTCGACGGTTGTAGGTTCTGTCGAAGCTCTAGGCGACCACTGGTGCTAACTGTGATTGGCGACGCTCGATCTTGAAGGTGCCCGTCGTTTGTGGGTGGCGGTCTGTGTTTCTTGGAGGCTAACAGGTGTTCTGGAGGTGTTGTGCTTCCGTTGTGGTGAGGAAAATAGCGGTTACAGAACAACGTTCTTCTGTCCCTGGGGGGCGGCCGGTGGTTTTGTAGCGATGGAGCCATCTACAGTGCTTGTGGTTGTCGGCGATGATTTATGGAGAGGGAGATCGGAGCAGCGAATAGCTATCTGTGGTGCTTCGGTTCCAGTCGACCATAGTGATCGAGGAACAGGTGCCCGAGTGGCAGCTATAGCCCAGTGATGAAGTGGGGGATACGAAGGTTGCGATTGGCATTGGAGTTCGTCACCGGGGATTGCGACTAGGTCCCACTCGTCGGAGCCTGAAGTACCCGATGGTGACCGGTAGTGTAGTTTCGGCTGGCATTGAAAGGTCGAGAAAGCAGGGTCGAAGATTCTTCAGGTTGCTACTTTTGTTTCCGACGGTCGACCGGTGGTTGACGGTAGTAGTGTTTGGTGACCATGTGGACCCACCTTTTGACTTTTCTGCCAGCTCCTTTGACTGAGTGGGGCCCATACGCCTCTGAAGAATAGCATCACGTGGAGGCCAGTTGTGGTTTTTTGGCTTTGCATTAAGAATTGGCCAAGGCGGTCCCGCTGAAGGTGCTCGGTAGACCTGGTGGGCCCTGACCTTAGGCTTTGTCTTTTCTGTTTATTTGTAATAATCTTTTGCATTTGTGGAACCACTAAAAGTTAATGCAATAAGTGTAGGTGGTATAGCTGGTGACCACCCTCTCCTCCCCCTCTTTTTTTTGTCGTCTTGGGAGAGACAAAGGGTACGAAGACCATTTTGTAAAATGTCTTTTGTACAACTTGTTGTATATGTGAACTGCAAGATGGTTTTTCTTCCTTCTTTTTTTTTGTTACGCCCCATGTACTTTTCCTTTTTTACCATACATATTTTTTACGGACATGGTAAATTGTAACTGATGTGGTAGGGTAAGTTTTGAAGTAAATTTTGTTTCTGGTGGGTTTTAAAATGTATCAGAATCATATGTACAACTTAAACAAATTGCACATGTGTGGAAATGAAATGAGTTCTCCATAATATATGAACTCGAAAATGAGAAAAACTCTTAAGAGTTTTCCATAAAATGTGCACTAAGAGTGGGATAGAAACCCATCAGAACTACTTCTCTCTCTCTCTCTATCTCTCTCTCTCTCTCTCTCTTTTAAAAAAGGTTTTGTAGAGGGTACAAGCCACAAAGCTATGTATACAAATAACTGTTGCAGCAATAAAAATATGCACAAAAATAGGGAAGGGTTTTTTTTTGAGAATGTGAACAGAAGATGAAGTAAAACTCACACAAAACATCATTTCTTCTAAATTTGCTGAGAAAACCCCATATCATAAATAAAAAACGGATCTGTTGTGGAGTGTTGTTCATGAAACTTCATTTTCTTTTCAGCTTGCTCAGCAAGCTATGAAGATATGAGAAAGAAACGACAGATCTAGAAAAATTCTCATTTTCTATCTCTAAGATTTTAGAGAGAACACTAAATAGACAACTTCAGAAGAGCTTTGCAAAGAAAATCATAAACTGAATGTGATTTCTTTGTAACATAAACTGAAAATAAGGTAAAAAATCACGAAAAATTTCTTCTCTTCTCAAGTTGCTGTAGCAAAACACCAAAACATGAATCAAAGATAGAGAAATGGTCGAAAGAACCTCTTCTCTCCCCGAAAGTACAAGTAAAAACGGGTCTGAACTGGTGTTTTTAAACTTGAGAGGTGATTAAGTGAACAAAAATGTGTAGATTTGGAGATCTAAGCTAAAAACGAGAGCATATCTAAAGTGTCTATGCAAACTTCGTGAATGCTCATATGAGCTAAAAACTGAACAGATCTGAAAAGATCTTAATTGAAAATGAAGTAGTTCTTGAGATCTAAATGATGGTTAAATAGATCTGAAAAGATCTTGTCAAAAACCAAATTGATCTGAACAGATCTTGGCAAAAGCCAAACGGATCTGAACAAAATGATGCTAAACATGAACAGATCTGAGCAAACCTGAGCTGAAATGCAACAGATCTGAACAGATCTAGGCAAGAACGAGATAATTTCTGCTCGTTCGAGTCCGGGATGGCGCCAAATGATGCGAAATCGACCTCCAGCGACTCTTCTGGTCTTCTGCTGCGGCAGAGATCTGACATCACAGTGCAAACCCGTTAGAGCCGCCCCATGGACTGTGCCCCGGGAGCGGGCTCCGACGGGTTTGCACTGTGATGGCAGATCTCCGCCGCAGCAGAAGACCAGAAGAGTCGCAGGAGGTCGATGTCGCATCATTTGGCACCATATATCATCAACAAGTAAAAGGATCCTATGTATTTAGAGGCAAAATAGTTCCGAAGCAAGAAATAAGTGAGTTCGGAGCATATTTTTCTTCTGAATACTTCTATCAAAGAGAACATGTCTCTTGAAAGAAATTGGGATCAGGCATCATCATACCCATTTTGTTCAGAAAACCATTAAATTTGGTTTCATCTAATGCCTTAGTAAAGACATCAGCAATTTCATCGTCAGATGGGACAAAAATAAGTCCGATGTTACCATTTAGAACATGATCTTTAATAAAGTGGTACCGAATGTCAATTTTCTTCGTCATGGAGTGCTGAATTGGATTATGAGAAATTGCAATGGCACTTTGAGAATCACAGTAGATAGGAATGCGTTGAAATCGGTAACCATAATCCAAGAGTTGAGATTTCATCCAGAGAACTTGAGAGGTACAGCTGGCAGCAGCAATGTATTCAGCTTCGGCTGTGGAGAGAGCAATGCAGTTATGTTTCTTGGATGACCAGCTGACTAAACGACCACCTAGGAATTGACATCCTCCTGATGTGCTTTTCCTATCGATTTGAAGACCACCATAGTTCGAATCAGAGTAAGCTTGCAGAAGGAAACTTTCATTTGCTGGATACCAGATTCCGAGGTTCTTTGTACCTTTGAGGTAACAAAATATTTGTTTCACAGCCAAAAGATGAGACATTTTCGGATTGAATTGAAATCTGGCACATAAACATGTTGAGAACATTATGTCTGGACGACTTGCAGTGAGATAGAGTAAGGATCCAATCATTCCACGGTACTTCTTCTCATCTACTGAAACACCCGAAGGGTCGGCGAAGATTTTATGACCGAAGCCCATAGGTACCTTGGCAGAGGCACAGGTGTCCATAGAGTATTTCTTGAGAAGCTCAGAAATGTACTTCTCTTGGTGAATGAAAATACGTTTGTTAGTCTGTTTGACTTGAAGGCCAAGAAAGAAGCTTAATTCTCGATTCATGCTCATTTGAAAACGACTGACCATCAGTTTGGCAAAATCAGCAACCGTAGATGAATCCGTAGATCCAAAAATGATGTCGTCCACATAAATTTGTACCAGCATGAGATGTTTTCCATTTGATATTCGAAATAAAGTGGGATCCAATATACCTCTTTGAAAACCTGAGCGCTTGAGAAAATCAGTGAGTGTCTCGTACCAAGCCCGAGGAGCTTGCTTGAGTCCGTAGACAGCCTTTCGGAGTTTATAGCAGTGGTTCGGAAAGGAAAGATTAATAAATCCGGGGGGCTGTTGAAGGTATACTTCAGTGTCAAGTTCACCGTTAAGAAAACCACTCTTAACATCCATTTGATAAACTTTGAAACCTTTGTGGGCTGCATAAGCAAGAAAGATTCTGATAGCTTCAAGTCGTGCAACAGGAGAAAATGTCTCGTCATAGTCAAGGCCTTCAATTTGAGTGAAACCTTTAGCTACCAATCTTGCCTTATTTCGGATGATAACTCCTGCATCGTCTAGCTTATTGCGAAATACCCATCTTGTACCAACAATAGGGTGATGTTGAGGAGGAGGTACAAGAGTCCAGACTTCATTTCGGTCAAATTCTGCCAGTTCTTCTTGCATGGCTGTAATCCAATCAACATGGTCTAATGCTTCTTTGATGAATTTGGGTTCAACCATGGATATGAATGCTGAAAAATGGAATTCATTTTGGATGTTGGTAGCTGAGCGAGTTTGTACACCAACATTTGGATTGCCTATCACTTGGTTTGGAGGATGATCCTTCGTCCAAGCATGCAATCGAGGAAGTTCTTGTGCAGCGGAGGATCCTACATCAATAGTAGAATTAATTTGCTCCCCCTGAATGATTTGAATATTGGGATGATGCTCCCCCTGAAATTCTGAACCGGAGAGGTTGACATCATCATCAGAAGGAAACTCAAAGAAATTTTCGTTTTCATCAATGTTGAGAGGATTTGAGTCATCGAAATCAGCAGCTGCATCTTGGAAACCATCCACATTTGATTCAAGAGAAGGATTTGCATTATTCTGCCCCTCAACCTGAGAAGGTTGAAACGGGTTGGAATCAAATGGAGGTAGGCTCGGAAGAGGACCAGAGAGGTTGTCAGAGACTGGGGCTTCCGAAGGAGGAATAGGAATCAGAGATGGTTGGGATCGAGATTCAGAATCAAGAGCTATTTCGGAAGGACCAAAGAGAGTTTCAAAATCAACCTCCAGAATGGTTTGAGGGTTCGGACATCTTGGCGGAGGAGCATCAGACTCCATGATGTGAGTTGTGATGTGAGTGGGGCCAGAATTCCGAACAAAGTTGTCATCAAAGGTAATATCGAAGCTTTCTTCCAGAACACGAGTTCTTCGGTTGAGAACTCTGTAAGCTTTGGATTTGGAAGAGTACCCTAGAAAGATTGCTTCATCAGCTTTAGGTTGGAACTTTGTAAGGTGATCACGGTTGTTTTTTATGAAGCATCTGCATCCGAAGACATGTAGAAATGAGATCGTTGGTTTTCGACCATTCATTGCTTCGTATGGCATCATGTTGAGCCGTCGATTGATAATACTTCGATTTTGAGTGAAGCAAGTAGTGGATACAGCTTCAGCCCAAAGATAGAGCGGAAGGTTTGCATAGTTCAGCATGGATCGAGCAGCTTCAATGAGTGTTCTATTACGTCTTTCAACTACACCATTTTGTTGTGGAGTGTATGGAGCTGAGAAGTTGTGATCGATTCCTTTTTCTGTGAGGAACTTCTCAATGGTGGAATTAACAAATTCCGAACCATTATCACTTCGGATTCTTCTGACCGGGA